ATAACTCATTTTAATGAGATTTCTAGTCCCTTAGAATTCACATTAAAGTATCAAATGTTAAAAACACAAACTGGATCTTTTGATTACATGATCTTCATGACGTTATACTTCAGTACTACTTTACTGAGCTAAAAGACTAATAAACAAGATTTTAGTGCAAGACGGAGTCCGTTTTTTTGGCAGTGATGCTGCGAATGCAAAACTTGGAGGACTTCTATCAAGCGTTCTTTCTGCAGCGTTTATAACAAACGCACCCTGAGAGGCATTTGAAACCAGGAGATTCACGCTGCCTGAATTCAGCAGCAGAGGAAACTCAACGGAACAACATGCAGTGTAAATAACATGTTGGGTAAATAGTCCCAAACTGTTTTTCTGAGTACAGAACTGCCCAAATATATGCAAATAAATGTGTTTGAGTTAGTGCAGTAAGTGCAAAGAGGCTTCAGGCTGCAGAGTGAAGGAGATATTTGTAAATATGTTATATAAATGAAAAATTGTGGTTCGTAAAAAAAAAATTAAGAAGTCATAATGAAGAAGTGAAGTCGAGTTCCGGGTAGGACCGACAAAGAAATGGACGGTTCAGTCGTATGAAAACATAACATGCATTTATCCTCAATGGCTACTGAACACGCCAATCAATACGTGATCGAAGCCCCGGCTTCTTTTTAATTTTAGTTGTTTTTTTTCTGCAAGAAATGGCTGAGTGTGCAAAAAGCAAATAGCACTAGATCGGCTATTGGTAGGGAGCTCCCAATGAACTTACAAAAGATGCACACTAAGACACACACACACGCACAACAACCAAACATCCTCCCTCAGCACCGGTTTGTGAAGCATCATGGAAATTCAAATTGCAAAAGCAATTTCCTACGACAGCTTGTTGTTTCTAACGTTGAGGAAATTCGTCGCTCAGAATTGGCAAATGTCTTCCACCCTGTGTGTATTTTATGATGTGCTGGATGTTCCTGGTTAACAGCACACAAACAGAACTTTGTCCTTAAATAAGTTCCTCCTACTTTTTTCTAGTTATTTTTGAGAAGAGTTTTTTTAATTGGGGATTTATCTTTTGATCGAGGCAACAAAGTCTGTTATAATTAATATACTATGAGTGTCACAATAGTCAGTGAATAATCCTCTACCAATAAACACCATACAACACTTAATGTGCAGGATTTTATGTTTATATTTTAAATTACAGTAGAGAGGAGCTTTAGCTGGTCCTCTGAGACTGCCTCACGAATATTTGACTAGTTACCGAAAACCATCACTGACTTAAAAAAACAATTCGCGCCCTTTCCATAAACAGAGAGAAACAGGGTTTTTTCATTTTATCTGAGGCTTTGATGAGACTTCATGTGCCGACGATTCCTTCTTCACTGAGAACATGAAATCATTAAGATGAAGTTTTGGAAATTTAAAAGAAATCAACAAAATCAAGAGTTTTATCCCAATGCAATGAAGCAGTTAAAAACCTGCAGGGGTTTGCTGTTTCTTTTTCCGTCTTGTATTTATTCTCTCTCTCCTGTGTGTGTGTGTGTGTGTGTGTTGTCTATCGTGGATGCTGATCTCTTGGATGAGAGACATTCAACCCTGACCTGATTTTCATAAAATCAACCCAGCATTTGATGCTATTCATGATGCTTTTCCCTCTATTGCAATTCTGGCAAAACCTAATCACATTGTTTTTCAATATTAGTCCCATTTTGTCGTCCTATTAAACTTTGTAATGGTAGATAGATAGAGATAGATAGATAGAGATAACAGTGTCAGTGCCGCGCTCATTGATCCACCATTGAGCCATCAATAACGTTTTTTCTCTTCAGAGAGGCTCTTTGCAGAAAATGGAAGAGAAAGAAGGAGCCTGAGAGATTTTGACGGACAGTCGGCTGGAGAGAAGATTCAGTAAATGACGAAGAGCGTCAGAGACCCTTTGAGACTCAGCGAGTGAACACGGGACACAGTAATTACCCTTCGGACTGACGGAGGTACAACAGAGAGACTCGTTCCCTCATTTGGTCCCACCCCACACTTGATGTCCGTCCTGGGGTTTTAAACACAAGAAGCACATTTATATCTGTAAAGATGAACCTTCCCCCAGTGGTGCGATAGAAAAGCACCCCAAACACCAGGTGTATTTGTCCAATTACCACAAAAACATCTCACTTAATGTAAGATACATTAACCCAAATCATTACATTGAACTGGTTACATGTTTTCATATAACAATCTATAAGATCTTGTAATGTAAAATAGTTGTACAATTTTCTGCAAAAAAAAAATACTCCGGTCACAAGTATTTACAAAGCAAGTTGTCACTTGTTATATAGTCTTTTCGCAATTAAAATACAAAGTGGGAACAGTGTAAATATTAGGGACTACAATAACAATAAGTAACACATACACATTTTCTTCATAGTTCATCAACATGAGCTCAGAAAAAATTGTATACGTAGGAGAAATGCGTATGGATTGAAACATGAATAGTGTGCGTACAGTCTTAAAAAAATGGACCAAGACAACAAAAATAGGGGGGGATTTAAATTGGACAACAGTACTGCACACAATCCGCTTACAACAACACAAATTGCAGTTACACACCAAAGACGTGGTCGAAAAAAACACGTAAAATGTTGCCAAATCCCTTGAAGATAAAAATAAACACAAAGGCTTTAAAACACATTAAAGGCTCAAAGAGCGAAAACGGAAGCAGAGTAATATCGCCTTCCTTTAAACAAGTATTAGCCGTCGTTCTTTTACAAAACACTTAAAGACTCAACAGTAAAAAATAAATGTGGAAACGAGGAAAGCATCGTGTCATCAGAGAATCGACTCATTGAGTCCTCGAGTCCAAGAAAGAGAACGAGAATGTTTGATAATCTTCATTTAGATTTTATTTTAATTTTATTAGTTACCAGTGTATTAATCCACCGACAGATGAAGGCTGTAAATGAAGATTAACATACATTTCTACCGCCGTGATTAAATCAGGGCATTGAAGAGCGCATCTCCATTTCCTCCTAATGGGTACAAAGACACAACAACTAACTGTAATATCTGGTGATCCAACACAAACACACACAAAGGGCTCTGCGGCTGTTACGTAAGCTGTGAACTCACTGTCAAGGTGAAGAGGAAATAGTCTCCAAGATGTTCCAGTGCCATTAAAATCATTTCACAAGACCCGCCACGTGCTGCAGGAACATCTGTGCTCAGATGGCTCCTGTGCACTTGGACCGAGCTCTGTGCGGCTGTCTGGATGGAAACCATGAAAAAAAAAAAAAAAAAAGTTAAATTCATGAGTCATGCCTGCAAATTTAAAAAGCAATGTCTTGTATAAAGTCAGAAGAAAAAAAGCTCCACGGGAACCAAGACTGATGAAAGATGACTGAGCCCTGACGCATGCATGTGCATAGGTACAGTGTGAGTCTGGAGAGGAAGGACACACACACACACACACAGAGCACAGGACCTTCACACTCGCCAAGAGAAGAGAGGATGCACTGAACGTGAGCGAGAATTAGAGACGCTTAATAGAGAGAGCGAGAGCCAATACGGTGCATGGGAGAGAGTCCCTGGGTAAAGAGAGAGAGGGGGGGGCTGAATGCGTGAGGAGAGTGAAGGCAGAAAATCATTCAGCTCCTGACCAGCGCGCAAGACGAGCCAACTACTTACCGACTCGGAGGATCTGCATGGAACATCTGCGGCGAGCTGAAGGTCTGACCGAGGAACGAGAGACGTCGTTCTTCTGTTCGGTTCCCTTTGGAAAAGAGGTTCGGAAACATCCTTCGAGGGAGAGATGAAGGTTTGAAGAACCTGGTGGATTTTTTTTTTTTTGCAGCTGAAAGGAATACTGAAGCAGGTCCGAGGGGGATATGAAGAGATTCCCAACCGAGGGGCTGAAGAAAGCAAAGCAGAGTAAAAAATGAACATACTTCAGAGCTCTGCTCTCGGGGAGTGATATCTTTCCTGTTGGGACTTTTTTTTTTATCAGCGAACTGAGCGTCTGAGGAGAGACTAGCGAGAGGTGAAAGTTAGCCAAGTGTCTCCGGGTAACACACGTGTCAAATACCATCATGTTCATCATCAATCTCGGCCGCCCGCGGACGCACTCTCACAGGTGCAGCTATGAGTTGAAACAAGACGACAAGGACACTCGAGGATTCCCACACACATCCGTGAGCGCGCACACGCGCTGTAATTGCCTCCGTGCAGCTATGTAGTCGAGGATCGACTCACCTTGACAAAGGCTTCCTCTCAAGATCGGCTTCGAAAGTTTCGTGTTAGTTCGCTCTTCCAAGGATGCTTTCCTTTCCTTTCCTTTCATCCTTGGATGCTTAGTCCGCGGGAAAACGGAAGACTACCGGTAAGGCTTCATCCGTTTGAAAAGCGACTCGGAAGAGATGAAATTCAGATTTTTTTTGGAGATCAGGGGCTTCCGATAGGCCCAATGTTTTCATCATGAGTGGGGTTTTGACAAGCGCAGACTTCAAGAAACCTGAAACTGTGTCCCCCGTCGCTCCAGCTTCAAATGGACTCTGCAATGGGAAGATGAGAGGAGTTTTCTTTTTTTAAATGATTAAAAACATGTGAGGTAAAATCACTCTGGAACTGTTTTTTCTTTCCAGTACTGCACACAGTGGCTGTACAAATCAAACAAGTTCATTTCTATCCATTCAACATTGTCCTTTGAACCCGAACAGCTGCGCTTTTTGTTGTGCGGCTATTTGTTGTCACCGTGGCAGAGAAGCTCCTCCGACAGGCGACCTCGGGCTTCAGAGTGTCCTCTGAGATGATGGACTAAACACGTGACAGCACGTATCCAAAACACCGCCCGTTCCTCAAGGTGTCGTGCTCATGGCGTTCGCCTGGGGTGGGGGGCGAAGGATTTTGGACAGTGGGTAAATGATGACGAGTCTTTCCTCTTTCTTTCTCCACACTGACCCGATTTTCCCGGCAGCAGTCCTGAGGCGTTTCCGTCTCTGGTTTGTGACGCCGGCACCATGAACCTGCGTGCCGGCAACGTGTCAGAGTTGATCTCCAACACTGTCAGAGCCGTAACGGCTCTGGAGTCCAATACCTGGTCTCCGCGTGGGTTTGAGGACAGCACCCTGCGGATCAATAACGTGACGGCCTCGGGGTGTCAAGGGAACGGCGCGCACAGAAATGGCGTTGACATTCAGTCAGGGGACTCGTCCTACCCCGACGTTGGAGGAGTCCACGGCGAGGACGGCGGCAGGATTTACGGGTCTCATTGTCCTCGGCAAGGGATGGCGACGGAGAAGAACTGGGCGGCGCTTTTGATTTTGGTCGTCATCGCCGTCACTGTCATGGGCAACATCCTGGTGATCCTGGCCGTGTCCCTGGAGAAGAAGCTGCAGAACGCCACCAACTATTTCTTGATGTCTCTGGCAGTCGCTGACATGCTGTTGGGCATCCTGGTCATGCCGGTCTCCATGGTGACCATTCTCTATGGTAAGCTCTGACATTTGGTGTGTGGCTGTCTCCAGTCCAACGGGGCAAACATACATTTCCCCCCAAAGTGTGTGAAATGTCCTTTTCCTTTCGAGGCTTTTTGTTTCTCTCCTTGTGACTCTTGTCACAGGTGGAGAACGGCGGTGATGATGGTGTGCATGGTGGTGTCGCTTCGGTGCACACAGAGAGCTGCAGAAGCAGTGAACTTACGGGAATGAATGAAAGGGGCCAGAGTGGTGTGCAAAATAACAACAACATCTGCAATTGACGTCAGAGTTAGCAGAGGCTGTCGTGCCCTTAATGGACACCGGGTTCATTATGGGCAACTTTTGCAAGACCTTTACCTCTCAAAATGACACGTATGTACATTGGAGCCCGGGAGCTTGAGCAGATAGCAGGGTAATACTTTTACATCACATTCCATGTAGTGAATGTGATGTAAAAGTACAGCTGATCTCAGGTAATGCAGGTATGACGTCCTGAGCATGGGTTTCCCATCGACTCCCATTGCCATCCCTAAAACCATCACACCATCACAATAACGCGAGAACCTGCAGCTCTGCACTGCAATCGCTGTGCTGGTGGTTCCTGATGCTTCCCCTTGTTAGCGACAGGAAGCTGAACGTTTCCTCTCCGCTCGCCCTCATTTCCTCTGTTAATCTCCGCGCCGCAAACACATCCACACACCTTCGCCGCTGTCACGGCAATGTCACGAGCCGCTGCTCCCACGAGAGGCTTTAGGCCCCCGAGTAGCAAATTCATCTGCACGAGTCGAAAGGAGGAGCGCATCCAGAAAGGAACGACCCCCCCCGGTGCGTAGTACTCCGACTTCCCCGCTCTGCGACGAGGAGAGAAAAGAAGTGGTTTGGCCGGACGGCGCTAAACACAAACGGGCTGCGTGAGTTTTCTGATTTCATTTACTGACCGGGAGCCTTGTTTCCGGGTGTGAGGGCGATAATCTCACGGAGCGAGTGGCTGATCGTGGGGTAGGTTGAGATTTATGTCATCTCGCGGATAACCGGGGGGGGGGGGACCCAGAGGTGAGGATGAGGACGGTTATTAATGAGCGCATAGATTGGTTCATTCGTGGCTCTGCAGATTAGATCGCTAACGGGGGTCACCAATGAGGTTAAGGGCACTCGCGCGTGAAACAACAGGTGGTCCTTTCAGAATTGCCGTCATATATGAGCCTAGTGGACAAGCAACACGGGGCAATCTAGCATGAGTACAAATAAACAGGTAACTGCAAGTGACGTCAATGTGGCACTAAAGAACTAGTCCCCTCTAACAGGACACGGATGGATGAACCACACATCCAACATGTGAGTCTTTGTTTGATCTTTTTTCAAGTAGAAACAGCTGGTGCTATTGCAGCAAAGACGGTACCTAAAAAGATTTCTCCTGTCAAACAACAAACCCAGAACCGGCTGTCCTTCCAGAATTTGGTCATCTCTCTCTCTCAATGACATTTGGGATTATTCTCTTCTGAGAATCTGACTGTTATTTCACCCAGTGATGCTGTCCTGTCTGACGTGTTTGTCATGTCAGGTGAAAGTCGTGAGGATATAACAGATCAAGCTCGAGTGTGTCTTGGGATTAGCCTCACCACCGAGAGCACACGCACACGAGCTATTCCCACATAACACGTCACAGTGTAGAATGCAAACACAATATCCTGCTACGTGATTGGGGTTCGCTTCCTCCTGTACTCGCCCCTGTGTGTTTTTTAGTTGCGTTCTCCGGAGACGAGCTGTCACAAAAAAACTCGTCAGACTGATGAGCTTTCTCACCTCACGCAATCCTCCTGACACTCGTCTCCCTGGTTTTAAAGAGCCCGAGTAATTTGAGACGTTTCACTTCGCTGGCGTCTGCTCCCGCGATGGCTGAAGATGTACAGTTGAGAGAGTTGAAATTATCTCCCGACTAAAGCAGGAATAAACATTGCGATCGGCTTCTCTTTAACAGATGGCTCGTGCGCATTCCGGGGGAGATGCTGTATTAAAGAGGCACGTTTCATTTTCCCCCGAAGAGAACGAGAGTTTCAAAGTTTCTCACTTTAAGGTGGCGGCACTCCACAGTTTGCCGATCGTTCAAGCACTAAGCGGATTGTTGCAGTTCACATCCGTTACGAGCAAATGTCAACATTTCAGAAAATCGAGCCCAACAAGCCGGACCTTTTTGTTTTTTGTTTCTATGCAGCATTCTAAAGGAGTACATGTCGCGCTATGTGCGTACGTGTTGCCGCGTCCAGAGACGTCTCGCCTCCTCGGCTCGTTCAGCCGAAGCCGCCGCTTTGCTCCGGGAATGCGTCTCCTTTTGTTCTTGCCACATTCAGCCCGTCGTCACTTTGGATCACAGCAGAAAGCCGGGATTGATCGGCGTGTTGTACAAACACCTCCAGCGGTTCTAAAGAGGGCCGGACTTAAGTGTCTCTGTTTGATGTCCACTTGCAAACCCCGTCACGCACGCAAATAGTCTGCTTTTAGCATTAAATAACCTCCACTCTTTCCACCGAGGACGGGGGGGCTTTTGTAATTCAGTTGCTCGGTAATCAATGCCTCGGGCCTTTGGTCCTTTGGTCACTATGGGCAACGGTGAGACCCGGAGGGCCTTCGGGAACAGCGTATTCCGCTCCCAGCTCAGTGGACGCTTGTCCACCGGTGAAACGGCATCGCTGTGTTCTCACTTCTCACCAGCGTGGGATTGGCGTTCCTCTCAGAGGGCCTTCAGCATGACAGACAGAGGACAGACACTCGCGTCTCAAAGCTCTCAGGTCAATGTGGCTTCTTTGGGGGGCGGGTAGATATACATACACATTGTAAATTGACCTGCTTTGTTTTTTGCTGGTTTTTGAACAATGAAGTCACCATTTCACAGACTGGAACGTGTATATATTATGCATTTGTACCATTTTATGTCACCTTGCAGTGAAAGAAATGTATAGAATGTTCTTTGTTGCAGTACAATGCGCATGACAGCTGACAGGAAGTAATCATGGGCCAGAGTTGTTGCTTAGTAACTGAACTCCATTAAAAACACACCGAAATGGAGGGTGAATTCAAGTGTATTCAGGCGCACAGTAAGAGAGTATTTTGAACACCCTAAGCATGTAAACATGCTTCCCTTCATGCACCTGAAAATTAGAATGACACGCGTGTGAAAGATAAGAAGCCAAATACAGCACATCTGTTGCGCCGTGTTCTCCCGTGAAAGCGGAACTTGATGTATGGAAATTGTTGACTTGTTGACGAACCATATCATTTAACAACACCACAAACTGTATCCTGCAAAACACGTCACACAAATGAACGTCCTGTAGTATTTATTTGACTAGTCATGCTGAGCTTCGTAGGCCGGCGCGTCCACAGCGAGCGCTACGCCCGCAGCGCTATCTGTAATCCTGAAACCCGGATTAAAGAGCACACAAAGGCAGAGCGCCTTCATCTGCTGCTCCTGGAACACATTACCCAGCCGCGTATTGACGAGGCAAATCATTGTTTTCTGCCTCTATTAATGTTCTGAATCCAACACCTTTTGAAGAGCAACTCTAATCCTCTTACTCCTGCTGACCTCGAGTGGAATGAGCTGTGCGCTCTCGCCGTTAGCATCGCCCTCAGTAGACCTGCCGGCAGAAGGGCAATTATAGATAAAGTGATTACGTGACGATGAATCACCATTAGTGACCGAATGCCAACAAAAAAAACAACAGCGATATTAAAGGTTAAATAGATAAAGCAGAATCTCCTCAGCCATATTTTATGTCGGCCGTTTCCATAAGAGATGAAGTCCCCTGAAAGGCTCTGGACACAGTTCAGGCTTTAATAACGCGAGCTCACTTTTTTACTCCCGAGAAGTAGGGCGGGTGTAAGTCTTACATAACAGGGGGGGGGGGGAAGGGGGGAGTCCTCAGACGCTGGTGTGGAAGGCTGCATCGACGAGGCAGTCGCCCAGAGCGAAAATAACCTCTAATTCGTCGCCTCGGTGGGAGAAAGGACGAGGAACAGGGACAGAGAGGGAGACGGAGCATCCCGAGTGGAAAGCAGCCCGTGTTGTGCACATCCAATTGGGCGCGACTGCATGAGATAGAGGGGATTTGGTCGTTTTTGTGTGTCCCTGAGCTGCAGAGCGAAGCACAAAGCGGCCTCGACAAAATAACAGAGAGCTGCAGCTGGCATTCAAATCATCAGCCTTCTCCTCCCGCTCGCATGACCAGACGGAACAAAACGAAACGGATGCAAACAAAAGGGCACAAACGTTATTAGGCTCTGCTGGGCAGATGTGAGACAGCCGGGCGAGAAGGTCAAGATGTGGAAGGAAGCTGTAACAATGAATGTGTGGATGGGGGGACACGCAGGTTAGCAGACAAACACCAGAGGCGATTCATAGCTGATATCTTATATAATACACTGTATGTAAATGGTTTGAAAAAAGGAAAGCAGATTTTTGTGCCGTTTCAGTGATAGAAGAAGTCCTGCAGTTTTCTTTTTACATTTTAACTGAGTGTAATCCAGAAGAAAGGTTGTGAGTTAATGGAGATGCAAAATTAAACCTGTGAATGTGAATTTTGCAACATTAAAAATTTTGTGCGCAAATATAATTTGATTAAATTGCGTAAATGCACGAATAATATTATTGTTATGATTATTTTTCAGTAAATCATAAATTCTAAAAATTCAAGCAAATGCTGTTTTCAAACCATTTGATCCCATTTCTGCTGTAAAAAAAACAAAACTGGAATGAAGAAAATTTGAATCAGGATTCAAAAACCCCGTCTTCTATAGCGCTTATCCAGGGTTCCACCCTGGACTGTCAATCACAAGGCCGACATACAACCATTCAGTCTCCCACTCACCAATTAACCCATCCTGCATCTTTGCATTCAAAAACCTTTCATATATTCTTTTATATGCAATAGTGACAATTAAAAACCAAGTATATGACAATTTACAGTAAAAAATTAGATTTTAGAAGAGTTAATTCTCCAAAAATGAAATGAGGTAAAGGTTCAGTCAATATTACCATTGCAAAAACATTAAAGTTTGCTTTTACGAACGACAGACTTTCTCAATCCTGACTGTCAATTGGTTTTCACTCACAGAAACTTTGCTTCTTACTCCTGAGAGCAGCATGTAATTAATGTTGAATAATTAGGTCTTATGATGACACACTGCTTTGGCACGTTGTAATTTGGATCGAGCACATTTGGTTCTGCGAGGGGGGGCGGCTCTCACTTTTCAATACACCGAAGACCCACGTGAGCTTCTTCCTCACATGCGATGTGTTTAAACTCTGCACGGTCACAGCGATAAAATGCACTCGTGTGAATGGAACTATTTGTGTATAGCCGTCCACTCATTAATATTCCGTAAACAGCGCAAACATTTTATTTTAATGGCACCACAGTGTCCATGTCTCTGTTTCTGAGGGGAATTGCATTTGCCTCATTGCAAATAAATTCCCCAAATCAAACAAAAAAGATATGATTGTGTGAAGTAATGATCATCACAATTGTTTTTATCGTAATATCGTTAAAATGTATTGATGAAATATAGAGTTGTGATTCCAACGAGCTCAAGGTTAAAGTCAGAGGATGGGAAGGTGAACGTGGGCTTTGTACGAGATGATGTACTAGTCAATCTCCAAAAACCTCCTATTTTAGTACCTTCATGTTTATTGTTCTCACTGTTTTTACCTCTTTAATAAACAGTGTTTTAGCCCACAGTATCTGACTTTTTTAAAGTTCTATATTCAGACTTACGTGTGTTCAAGTAGTAGTTTTCTCTTCTATCTTTAGTTCAGTTTCATTTAAATGGCGCATAATCACTTTGAAACATGTCTTGAAATGTGATGTCGTGTCTTAAATTGTCTTTGCGGTTGAGAGCTAAACAAAAAAAAAGAGTGAAACAGATGTTTAATTAGTCGGCAGAGAATCTGTTTCACAGATGAAAAGGTTTGGCAATCAACACAGCGGGAGCTCAGACGGAGCAAGCAAACACATGAAAGCAAATGTAATTATTAAAGGGGATCATTCACCTTCAAACCAAATGCAATGGTGATGCCAGTGCAAAAGTATCAGCATACAAATACCACAGGTACAATGTATTACATCATTGTTATTGAAGCACCATATTGAGAGAAAACTGGCACGTTGTGGGTCCAGTGCCTGTTTTATTGTGTAGTGTCCCTGGGTTTACTTCCCTTCCTGCCCTGGCGTGTATTTCCCTCGTGTGTGAGTGTGATTGTCTGTCCCTGATTGTTTCCTGCTGTGTCCGATCCCCTGCACGTCCCCAGCGTGTTCAAACCACGTGTGTCCCTCGTCTCCCGGCCGTCTCGTCTTTGTGGATCTTAGTGTCGTGTTGCGGAGTGTGTTTCGGTTTTTGCCCCCAGGCATTTTTTGATATTCTGCCACCGTTACCCTAAAGAGAGTACATCACATTTGTACATCAACCAGAAGGTTTCAGATCAAACTCGATTTGCAGAACATTTCCCGGGAACAGATGAAGTGCTTGTTGTTAATAAACGAATGAAAAGAAAACCTCTGGCGCCCGAGGAGAAAGCTGCAGGGTTTTTGTCCTCCTGCTGTGTTCATTATGTGGTCAGTGTGGGTGGAAACATTCATCACTGCTCTTACCGTGTTCTTGTTGTTTTGTTGTGGCTGCTGCCACAGCTGACGACGTAATGAGAACCATCAGGGCTGTTGTTTGAGCAATTACACTAACACTGAGTGGGCTGTGAACTTTAACCATGCAACCACTTTAGGTTCAATGTGGTTGCACGCTGAACCTGCACAAATTGCACCTTTAATGACTTTTTTACTGAACGTGTTGGTGTAACTCATTACACTCAAAGGCGTCACACAGACGTCCACGTCGCCGATGAAGACTCTGAGGGCATCAGTTAGTGTTCAGGAGTTGTGCCTCTTTTAAGATTTGGTGACTCTCTCTGACCTGCTGCCTTCACACAGCTGGCGAGCCCGGTGATGTCACTTCCTGTTGTGCGACCTCCTCAAGTCAATGAAAACAAGCGGCGTTTGGCCCGTGCAGGGTCCGTAGTTGTTGGCTGGCTTAGTCGAATTGTTGTCGCTCAGGATGAAAACCAGTGGAAAGTCAATTAGGATTTGTGGGGGGCGCCTGAATTAAAGGTGGTCTCAGGGTCAAAAGGTCAAAGTGCACCTCCTGGGGGTTGTTGGTCCGACACACACGGATCTTGTGTGTTGCTCAGCGTGACCCACAGTGTTTTGTTGCCTGATCCAATGCGGTTTTAAAGCCCAGAAATGTGCAAACAACCGATTTTATAAAGATAAATAATTGACTACAATCTTTGTTGTGATCTGACAAAAATAACTTTATTTTCATTTTCCTTACTGTTTGGCGCGTTGTGATCTAGGTTATGTGTGTGCGCGTGCATGTATGTGTGTTGACACGTCACTGTTTATTATGCAGACCACATGCTGAGTGTGTGAGAGAGACAGTGTGTCTTCATCGTCGCTCCTCCTCACATTTCTTGGCCTGAACGAGGTCGTCTCCGAATCCATCACGATATGTATCCTAACTAAAGTGCATCTGAACAGCGGTCTGTCTTCCCCATCCTCCAAACTAATGACCTCCTGCCTCCAAAAGTATCTTAACACAACTTCACTTAATTACAGAAATCTGTTTCCGGGAACCTTTTCTCTTTTTTTGTTTTTGTTTTTTTGAGTCCACTTGTCTGACTTTTGTTTTTAAAGTTGCATCTGAAAGCCGCAGTGCGTCAGTTTCTCCCGTTGGCTCTGCAGACGCCTTCGGTCAGTGAGCGCTCTGGTAAAGCAAACATTATTTTTCGCACATTTTGACGGAGATCGTTTTCTTTTCTGAAGATGCTCAGTGTGTGTTTCAGACAGGTGTGTGTGTGTGTGTGTGCAGCCTCCTGGTTGATTAAATCCCGCTGCGCAGGTGCTGGAGATGTTGTGATGAACCCACTCAACCAACGCTGAAGCTATTTAGAACACGTGTTTGCTGCTTTGCATTATTGATGCAGCCGTTGTGCATCACCTGCTTGATTTATGATGAACTAGACGCAGTAAAAGACCCTTTGCACGCTAAACGTTTTGACACGTCAACGATCTAAATAACTAGAGCCTACGAGAGTGCGACACAAGACGTTTTAAGAACAAAGCGGGAGGTTCTTCACAAAAAGTCAGCAGGTGTCTGTGTTCCATCCTTTAAGTTACATGAACTGTAATACATCACGTTTTTGCTTCGCATTCAGGAATTTAGGAATCTCCTCCGTCTTTATTCTTGATTAAAGAATGAATGACTTTCTTCTTCAGAACATTCAAACATCACCGTGTACTCTTTTGTCCCACCAACAATCCCTGATGTGAAAATGTTGAGCTTGTCTTTGCTTGTCGTCTACCCGAGACCTTCGTTACATCAGACACCGCAGGATCCGAACACCTGCATGAAGAGCGAGCGCTTCATGCCGACCCCGGACGCCACGTAGCCGCCATGTCTTCTTTTTATAAAGAAAAATAAATATGTTCTCTTTACCGAAGCCCTTGAGCTCTGGGTAGTCTAAGGAATGAGCTGGTAGATACGAGAGGCAGAAATGAGTTTTCTCTGCGGGGCGGCTCAGATCAGTCTCCCGGGGATGATTCATCCGACGTGAAGACATGAAGTGAAGCCAATGCTCCCGACCGTCCAGAGGAGCCAGATGTCTGATCAGGATACGCCTTCTTTTTGTGATGGTTTTCCTCATTTTTTAGGATTTAAAGGTGAGAAAGAGGGACAGCAGTGCAGGAGGCAAACACGTGCGTGGTGGCGCCCTCAGTTCACATGACAACATGATCTTGGTACCTATTTGCTCCAGCGTCCGACAAGCAATATGAACACTGTCGTGTTGATAAGATGACCACTTTAGAGAAAAACACGCCTTTGCGATGTTTAATGTAGGCATCAATCCATATCTGTATTTTTCTAGTAAGTATTAATGGATTAGATGGATGCTGCTTGTTCATTCATTAATAATTTGGCGTGAATCTGCCTCTAGAAACAGACTCTCCTCGTATTGATGTGTAGAATCCGCTTCAGTTCATGCCGATGATTCAATTCGGAGAAGGCTGCCGTGGGCGCCGCGTGTCTGCGTCTGCGATGCGTGGAGGTATCGCGCGCGCTTCCGGCCTCAGACTGTCTGCAGCGTGTGCTCAGGTTCCGTCCGCATGACTCACCCGTGCATCACCGCGCGGTCACCGTGTCATTGGAATGTGAAGGCTACAGATGGGCAGCGTGTCCATGGAACCGCCGATGAGTCCAGTTATGCTGAAACAAATACAGTCAGAGGAGACGGCTGCTTCTCTGCTAGGCACATTCAGTCAATTCATTAGTCGACTGACTGATAATTGTCAAAATTTGAATGTGTTGATACGCTGTCACGGTTGGCGCTTTTTTTAGCACGACTCTGAAATAACAAATAAATGTCTCGTCTTCCTCTCTCCACCTTTTCCCGCGCAGATTACGGGTGGCCGCTGCCCTCCGACCTTTGTCCCATCTGGATTTACCTGGACGTCCTGTTCTCCACCGCGTCCATCATGCACCTGTGCGCCATCTCCCTGGACCGATACATCGGGATACGCAACCCGATCCACCACAGCCGCTTCAACTCCCACACCAAGGCCCGCATCAAGATCATGGCAGTTTGGACCATTTCAGTTGGTGAGCGCACACTCGCTTGTTGAAAGAGAAAGTCTTGTTTTGTTTTTTTCGCTGGAAGGCCGAGTGCGGAGGAAGGGGCAGAGGCGCCGTCATTGAGAGCAGGAGGGCAGTCGCATCGAAGGTGATTTTTACACTCTTCTGGGTGGAAGTGCTGCCCGGTCAATGGCGCCGTAGATTAGCGAGAAACATAATGACGGGGCTGCAGACGGCGGAGGTCGTGGGAGTAGAAGAGAAGCTGAGTGCTCTTTAGCTCTGCACCGCCACTGGGAATACAAAGAAAGAGAAAAAAGGGGAAGAAGCGTAGGAAAATGTGCATTTCAGCTGATAGCATTTCAGGTAGCAAGCTGCAAAAATAAACCCTCAGTTTCCGTTCGACTGGAAGTGGAAATATCAAAAAGCGTCGCCTCGTCTCTGTCCTATTTGATATGTTTGTTAGTCAACATGCTCTCACACTAAGCTAATTAAAATGAGCCATGTTGGAATATTTCATTTTCATCCCGGTGGCAGTGAGCCAAGGCTTTAGATCATATCAGACGGATGGAGTGCGGCGACTGTTTGGATCGCTGAAAGGGCGCCTTTCCAATCCAACGTCACTAGGTCCTAAATCCTAAATCCTGAATCCTCAGTCCAAAGAATTATACAAAGTCCCGCAGGACTCCAGAGAGTGTTCGCTGTGATCATCTACCTGATCACTACTTCATCATAAGCTGAAGTAACTGTCAGCTTCAGGAAATGCACTCAAGTCGTTTTAGATTTATTCATCTGCCGCTTATGTGAATATTTCACAATATTCCTTCCGGCGGTTGGAAATACAAAAGCAAACGTGACAACATAAGTGTGTTATTGATGAGCTGTTGAGATCCAGCTGTCAGGGACTAAAGTGTCATTTTTGGGGCAAACCAGAAATCACCTGGTAGCACAAAAGACACATTCCTGCTGAATAGTCCTCATGGTGAAGCACAACAGAGAAACGCCTTCCTGCTACTTCACATTGTTTCCATTATTTTTCCCTCTACTTTCAAGAAAAACTGCTGCATCTTTATAAATATCTGCCGTTGAGATGCTCGCGGTGGCCTCATCTTCATAAACACTGACACTCATCGTGTCATTATGATGTTTTATATTCATGTTTCTCCTTGATCTGACATCCTGTTCTGCTGCTTCATATTGTCCCGAACACTGGGTGAGATTTATTGCCTTGCTTTTCCTTCAAGTCTATGCAGGAGATTTAGCATCGAATGGGATTTTGTTTTAAAGTAATAATAGTAAATGTCATGTGAAAGTCAGTGTCATTGAATTAAGAAAGCTCCTGAACACTTTTTGAAAATACATTTTGCAAAAATACAATTCAAGCGTGAGTCGAGAGGTTTGTTTGCAAGTTTTCATTCGGCTTTAACCCGATTTAAAGGACAATACATAGTATTAGGAAACTAGTTATTACGGTTATTTGGTTATTTCGCCAACAAAAATGGTCTGCAGGGACAGTTTAAAGAGTAAAACATCCCTGCTGGGTGCAACAAACAGAGATTGGAGATGAATAATATTATAATGAATCCACTGAAGTCTATTGATTGGCTGCTACAATGAATCCATCTTCAAAGACAAAATGGTGTGAATGAGTTCAATAGCAGTTGCCCACATTGTTCCCAGGAGGGGCGGGTGGAGCAAACGGGTGGGGGATGAGGTCAGTGAGGTGTGGGAAGGGAGAATTTGCCCAATCAAACTGGGGAAAACTAAATAAATAAATACCCTCCACCTCTTTATTTCATTGGACTAAACAAACCTCCGCGAGCACATTGTGTTTCCTCCAAACGTTATCGAGTGAAAGCTGAGGCACGAGTGAGTCGTCAGCCCTCAGGCCTGCGTCTGCTTCCTGTTGCCTCCACTTCATTAGCGCGCCGGCGTTCTGCTCCGGCACGCTAATGGCCGAGTCACGCCGGAGCTGCAGAGCGTTCATCCCGCCTTCCTCCCTCGAGCGGATCCGCACCCCGAACGCGTGTTGCGTTGCACACAAAGCGATGAATTGCACAAAAACGAGACACAAGGATGAACTGGTTGAAAGATAAATAACCTTTTAAGCCAAAAGGGGATTTTCAAGGTCCAGACTTCAAATGTTTGTGTTTTCAGTTTTAATATTGAATTCTTATTTAAAACGTATATTTTATTTGCAGTTTTTTTTCTATGCATAATGTTTAGGGTTTCGGAAAGCTCTCGAGGGAGGCCTCACTCCTTTGTTCTCGTCCCGGCCGGAAACGAAGAATCAAAAGAGTCAGCTTGCTTAAATTCAAAAATCAATAGGTATTTAATAACTAAACAACGTTATAAGGAACACAATTACAAAGTGAAATACTAAGCGAACGGGAAAATATTTTGCGAAATAGAGAATCCTCTGAGCAAGTCTAAAGCGACTTATCAAAGCGACAGTCCTTTTCCCCACTTCGGTCCTTTGAAAACTCTTGAAGTGTGTCTTCTTGGGTGCATTTGAATGTCATTGGCTTCTTCTTCAGTGTCCCCTTCCTCATTGTCCCCTTCACATCGAGGTGTGAAGCTGCAGCTGTAACCTGAAACCTCCCTTTACTACCTGTCCCTCACATTTCAATGCACTCAATGTAGATACAGTTGGCTTTATGCCTCAATGAGTGAATTTAACAAAGCATACATTGTTTAAGTCTTCATCTTTTAACTAGTACACTTTCATTCCAACACATCATTAATGATCACCGTTCATCACACTTCATCATAAGATCTAAAACAGTTCATGTGGTCCAACACTCAAGACATTTGCCCCAGTCGGCTGCCTTACATTAAGTTGTTCATTTATTAGCTGACAGGAGAAAAAACTCCCAAAAAACCCCTTTTGGGGGATAAAATTGGGAGAAATCCATAAAGGACGGCAATTGGCATCCGTCCCCAGGTTTTAACATCACATTGTGACAGAATGTTAATGTGTACAGTGTTTACATGATTTAAATAACTATGAATTGTGTTTGATTGAAATTGTATTCACTTCATCTAACATGTTAATGTAATAACTAATATCTAATAAAACACACTATAATTCTAACACTAAACATTATTACACATACTATAATTTCCTGACTAGGGGTGCACTTCTGGCTTAAATCCCTAACAATGAGGAAACTGTTTCAAATTTCCCTGTGCCACAAATAAAGTTCTCTTTCATCTTAGATATATAAACAACACAAATCTGTGTTGTTTTTCCCCTTTGGAGAAGAAATTACTCCGCAAAGGTTTTAAGTGATGCAACGACGGCCTGTTTGTCCTCCAGCTGAGAACGCATCACTAATTCACCCGTGTGGCGATTATCTGGTGCAAGTGTACGAGCAGAAACCGTCAACATTCAGTATTTGATCAAAGTTACGATGGACACCACCAAGGGTGTAGGTTTGGTCTCCCCCCACAGACCCCCTCGTAATAATACCTATGAGTTTGCAAATATATTGTGCACATTTAGTTTTCTAACAGGAAATTCAAATTGAAAAAACATTGGCGGGGACAATCGTGTCTTTCCCGAAGTTTGGTCTTCCCGTGACTCGTCCCTACAGGGACGCCGTGCAGCCGCCCTTGGACACCACAGCCCTCGAGAACCAGCTGTCAGGCTGAGTTTGAATAAACTCATGAGAAAGACACAGGGAGAAACTGCAGGAAGCAGCTAGTCTTAAAATAATAATGAGACTTTCGTCAGGCCAACGGAAAGGCTTCGTCTGCCGGCAGTGAAGAGGACAGTTTGTACATAATTGGGCAGAAACAACAGTGTGTTCCTCACACACCCTCAGTTTGTTCCATGTAATTTTAGCATTTATCTGAACAACTCTGCTCAGACACTTTCCTTTACACGTTCTTTCCCTCTTGAGCTGTGATTTAAATCTGGCTGTGAGCGTTTCGTCCGGCGTCTGCGTTTTTCTTTTTTAACATTTATCTGTAAATACCTGGAGGCAAAAGAAAAAAGAAGCCTTTCTGCCGGAGCTGCACGCGGTCGACGGGAGAAAGAGCCTAATGACGCCTGCGTGGGCTCGGCGGGGCGGCGCTCTGAGGCCTCGGGCGACGTCACAGACGGCCTTCACGCCGCGCTGCGCCGTTCGCACGCACAGCCTCGCTCTCCTCCGCAGGTCTGTCAGGAGGAGGATCTGATTGGACATCTGAGAGGGGGGGTGCACACGCATGAATGCAAGCTGGAAAACGTGTGCCTTTGTGGCTCTTGAGGATCTTTTGAGAGGATCGATTCATTTGGGTTTTTTGATCTTCAGAGTGATGCTCCTCACTCTGAAGATACGGTTCCAGTTGGTGGGATCAGGCGTTTAGCTGCGATGAGGGACTAGAGAAGGCAGACGGAATGTCCCACAAAGACAGACGTTCGGGGCTGTGGGTGTTTTTATTTAATCCACACTGACACGTTCATGCCTTTCTTCACAAACGCTTTTCTCTGTACTGAACATCCTGCACTTGGTGAAGTGTGAGAGGAAGACGTCTGCGTCTTCTCCACGATTAAGTATCGCTTTTTTTATTTATTCAATTAAACCCGAGTTAACTTCCCCCCTCAAGTTTGCTTTAAAAAATAAATGAGGCTGGCCCCAACTAGAAGGAAGTCTTTGGTTTGACACAAAGGATTAATTCAAAGCTGACGTGAAAGTCAGCCAGGAAAACGTAGCGACGTAGTTTATTTAACATGAACAAAAACCGTATTCTCGGGTGTATTTACAGTCGAGTGTATTTATTAACCCAGTAAACAATCCGAGTCTCGGGTGGATTTATAAATAAACACTAGAGTTTCCTATGTGGGGTGTAAATGCTGTTTTTCTTTGCTTCCTCCTCATGAGCCAGAGGCCGATCTCTCAGTGTGTACGAGTACACAACGTGCATCGAGTGTAAGGTAGTAGATCCTCACAGTCACACAAACACTGGAATGAACAGTTGTTTTTCACCTCAGGGATGAATCTTTCAAGTGAATCACTGCTTTTCACCATTGCTCATCTCATCCATATTCACTGTAATCCTGGCTGAAGCCTGGAGTTCCTTTCAGGCATCAGCAGACAGACACGACAAACAGGTGAATGTCCCAAAGCTCTCCGTGGAGATGTTGGATCACACGTTTGCCTCAACAAACTCTTCGTCTGTCGCATGCGATAAAAACGCATTTTACAGCAATAATCAGTAATGCAGTAACGACACCCTTAGAATTAGTGATTCTGAATCCAAATGTAAGATCGCAGTACCAACTCACAGTGACAGCAGGTACAGAAAGCTGAAGTAATTCACCGCTTTTTCAACATCATTACAGTGTAATAAAATGCTTCTGAAGAGCAGTCTTGAATAGGATATAAATTAGAATTCATATAGAAGTAAACCACGTTTTGATTTTTCTCTCAAGTTCCATTGTTGCATTATGAACTGAAACTTTGAAAATCAGCTCCTTTTGTGTCTAAAATGTCCCCCCTCCTCCCTGTTTTCCGCCGCCCTTTCATCTTCTCTCCTTTTTCCTTTCTCCACCACCGCCCTGCATTCATGTATTTAGAGCAGAGAATTGCCATCAGGGAGAAACTGCTTTTTACTGGTGGATTCTGTAGACGTGTGGGGGGGGGGGGCGGATGCTCAAGGGCAACGCGGTGTTCGCAGACGCTCACATCAATGATGTCACCTCGACAAATCCCACTTCATCTGCTGGATATGGAGCCGACAGTGATGATAGTTCTTACTCTGTGTATAACGCTAATGAGAAGTCGGCCTCCACCTCTCTTTCAACTTCAGTCCGCCACACGGAACATTTAAAGCCTCTGATGTTGAGGAGCGCGGCCGTGATTAGTCAGAAAACCAATCTCCCGCCTTTTTAAACACTCACGAACCTTCAAAAATTCACAGCAGACGGCCTGTATTCACCCTCCGAATCTGCTTCTGTGATGAGGAGCCCGCGGCGGCTCCACCGCGCCGCCTGAATATCATCACCGTGCACTTTTAATAACGGCAAACGCCAGAGAGAAGTGCGTCCCTGAGCGCCGGGGTCTGGTGGGTCAATGTGGTGCTTCACCTGTCAATCAAAAAATGGTTGCACGCTGCAGTTTAACTTTCTGCAGGACGGTATGCTGGGTGAAAAAAGAATATTTAAACTGTTTGGTTGATGAGCAGGTCTAAAGCCAGAGACACGTTAGCTTAGCTTAGCATAAAGACAAAACAGGTGGGAACGGCTAGCGTGGCTTTGTCGTAACATTACGTCAACAGAAGCTGCAACGAAAGACTGTTTGACATTTGATTTGACTCACCAGCACGTCGACGCTCATTATGTCCTCGTGCAAACCTCACGACTGAACCCCTCCAGCTGCTTTCTGCTCAAACCATCCGGACTTAACGAGAATTATCCTTCTCTGACCCGCCTGCTCCCAACATGCAGCAGCAGCCGCTGCCGTCGCTGTGTCTCCAACCTTAGCGTTCTCTTCAGCTCCTGTGGATGTGGACTGTTCACAGCTGGCGCGGCCTCCGCTAAAACTTTTCTTGGCTTATTTTAAATTCCTTCAGTTTAATAACAGCGCGGGATAAAAACTACCTGAATTCAGATCGAGGAAAGTAGGCGAAAGGTGGTGAAGTTTCACCAGGCAAATCGAGACTGAAACGTGCGCTTCGCCGCTGAGAGAAAGGTTTACAAATGTAAGTTAGATAACGATGCGAGTCGAGCTGCCGTATCGGTGGAGATCGGACCTCAGACCCACAGAGGAGAGGCTGCTGACGGGGAAAGGTGGAGGCCGAGCTCCACTTTCCTCTCAAATTGTGACACACAGCGAACATGGGGAGAAAAAGCTTTAGCGCCGGACCGAAAATAGCAGTGCTTCTCTGCTGCTTATTTCTGTTTACCAAACCCTGTGTTATCCGTAAAAACGCTCTTCCTTGAGTTAGTCTGTTTGTACAGGTTTTAACCTCCATCTTTCATCCTTAACCAGCTGAAACCAGAATCCGTCCTTTAGATTCTCACCACTTCCATATCATGTCCTTCAAATGCTAAAAATACTTCAAAACTTCCAACTGCGGTAACTTTTTGCAAATCCTAAAAATAAAAAGCTTCCGATGTAGCAGCGTAGGCGTGTTTTTAACCCTAATCCCTCCACCACTGCAAAAAAAACCCAACGCTTTCCTCTGAATCACAATGATCGTCCCGGCTTTGTACTTTTCTTCTCATCACTGCGCCGCTTCCTTCCCCTCTGCAGGGATCTCCATGCCCATTCCTGTCCTGGGACTCAGAGACCACTCCAAGGTCTTCAAAGACGGCAGCTGCATGCTGACGGACAACAACTTCGTGCTGGTCGGCTCCTTCGTGGCCTTCTTCGTGCCCCTCACCATCATGGTGGTCACCTACTTCCTGACCATCAGCGCGCTGCAGAACGAAGCCACCCTCTGCCTGGACCAGCTGGTCCCGCGGCCCAAATGGAGCACGACGTTCACCTTGAGCTTCTTGCCGCAAACCTCTCTGTCCTCCGAGAAACTCTTCAGGCGCTCGATAAGCCGCGAGGCCGGCGGCCGGGGGAGCGGCGGCGGCGGCGGCCTGGGAGGCGCCCGCGGCAGCCTCTCCGGCTCGCTCTTCGGCCGCCGTACGATGCAGTCCATCGGCAACGAGCAGAAGGCCTCCAAGGTCCTCGGGGTGGTGTTTTTCCTCTTCGTGGTCATGTGGTGTCCGTTTTTCGTCACCAACGTGCTGGTGGTGGTGTGCGACGCGGCGGCGTGCGACGCGGGGCTCATGGGCGGCCTGCTGAACATCTTCGTGTGGGTCGGGTACCTGTCCTCGGCGGTCAATCCCGCTGGTGTACACGCTGTTCAACAAGACGTACCGGGCGGCGTTCCTGCGCTACGTCCGCTGCCGGTACCGGCCGGAGAAGAAGCGCCTGCAGCTCATACTGGTGAACACCATACCGCCGATGGCCTACAGCTCCGCCCAGCTGCCCGCGGCGGGAGACGTCCAGAGGTTACGAAACGGAGCGGACGTCCCCGGCGGCGAGGCGAAGGATTCCTCTTCGACCCGACAGGACGCGGAGAAGTTGGCGCCGGACAGAAGTCACGCGGACAAGCGGGAGAGCTGCGTTTGAGTGAACGTCTGCTTCAGGCCGTTAAAAATAAAGCGAGGGGTTCGAGGGTTAAAGTGCCAAAGACAAAGTGCCTCCCGGTCAGGATTTTTAGAAACTGAGGTCTTGAGTTTCCCATCGCGTCACAAAACGATCAGGCTCAACTTTTAGGTTTAAAAATGTCCAGATACACACTTCATGACCGGGATCGTTGGTTCAGTTCTTTATAGCAACGGAACTCTTTTTGATATTATTAGATACAATATATTGACGTTTCAGAGCCTCCAACAACCCGCCTGCACGTGAAATCAATCTCGAAAACATATTTTGTTTGTTTTTCACTTAATCTTTCCCAAAGATATTGAATCAATCAATATCCTCCAGACTGAGAACGGAGCACGTAAAAGTAAAAGGGTACAAAATGTGTCGTAACTCGTGACCCAATTTCTTTGGACAAAAAGATGAAAAAAATAATAAAACGACTGCGCGGGTTGGACTGGACGTTACAGATATCCAGGATGAGCACTGAGCTCCGGGGCTGCAGACTCTCCCAGAGGTCTGATAGAGCTGCCAGATGGGGGAAGGAAAAGCTGCGGCTGAAAATGCATATTACATCTGGAAAAACTCAGTAGAATGATGTTACACAGAGACGACGTGTGTAAATCTATATTCGTATTCTGTGCAGGTGTATGTGAATAAGTGTAAATGATTGTCGCGGTCAAAAAACTTGTGTTCTTTGTTAGTGGGACACAGAGGTGATATTGTAAAATGAGAGACTTTGGCAGAAAATTGCGATTTAAGTGCAAATATTTCCACTTTAAAAGCAGCGTGTTCTCCTCAGACTACCGGGGCATCAAGGTCACTGCTTCCGGCTTTTACCCGGAACAAAAGGGTTGTTGGTTGCCAGGTGAATAAATATTGTTTTGATGGTGTGCAGACAGGACGGAAACCAGACTGATGCGCGGAGGTCGTCCTGAACCATGGACGCATTAACAAGGTGCGCTCACATCCGTGGACTCTCGTCTAAGAAAAAAAACACGAGTCGATGCGACAGAAATTCACAAAAAATAGAATAAAGGAGGAGGAGTTTGTCGGGCGTCATTTTTTTTGTTGGACCCACGATTGTTTTGTTTGAGTTCACGTTTGAATTGATGCCATTGGGTTTGATTTGGTGAGATAAGAGTTACACACGTGTCGCCTCTTTGAAGGTGTAACGCTGGATCACAACGATATGATCTCAAAACAACAGACCGACGCCTCCCGATCGAAGGTCCTCTGTTGGTTTTCATCTCTTTCGCCTGTCGTCAAAACCACCATGAACTCCTTCTTTCTTTTCACAACAAGGCACGGCACAAAATCTGAGACCAAAAGCCAGGACGTCTTTCAGTGGGACGGCTTTTCATGAACGCAGTATCCAGAGAAAAGCGCTTTTAGGCTCAAGGGTTTGTTTCTGTTGCAGTAAGCTGCGGATGTCATTTCTCCGTTGACGCATCCACGGATCAAACGGTGACGACCGCAGTAAAGGCAAGACTCGGGGGAAGTGGTGGACATCAATGTGGAATATAACAGTGGAATGTGAAAATATGTGATCACCAAAATGAACTCAATGTGTTTGTGTCTCTGATGTTTCCTGTTTGTGGGAAATGATGAGTCCACTTCCCAAATGGTGAATATCCCACTACACGCAGGATTGATGATTCCACTAGTACTACTTTTTTGAGACAAATCATGTGATTGGTGATCGAAGTATTTAATTGTGGGGTAACGCTCTTCAGATGCGGTGAGGCGGCTCAGGGTTTATCAAGAGATACAAAGAGGATATTTACTATAAGTTGTGTGAGCAAGAAACGGAGCCAAAAGAAGTTATTAATCGTTTCCACAGATGTTATTTACAGCAGCAGGTGAAGTAGCGCATTGAGGCTGCTCATTAATAACAGTGATGAAGGCGCAGAAACATTATCGCGGCAGGTGGCTGCTTTTTAGCGGTGACGGAGCGTTTAGCAGTGATGCATTTTTACCGGCTGAGTGTGAACCTGCATTAACATAGAAACACAAAAAGATTCTTCACTGGGGTCTGAATAAGTTCTGTACTGCACTAGAGGCTCTAATCGTAACGGACGTTTCCAGGACGCGGATCGTGGTTGGATTATGTGTCACATCCTCCCATAAGATTGGTGGAACTGGGGTTTGTTTACAGCTGTTTAAAACGCCGTCTTGTTGCGTCTTGTTTTTCCACACCGGCGTCATCAATAGTTCCCTTTCCCGCTCTTTTAGACTCGGGGGTAAACCCCCAAGAATCATCGCTATCGTGTTCAACAAACCACGGAAATAAAACCGCCTCGGACGGAGCTGCTGCCGTCTGTGTGACTCAAGGACCATCGACACCTTTTCTGATGACACGTACCTTCACAGACTGGAGCCCGCTTTGGTTTGAAGGACTTTTTTAAACTATAGTGTCCACTTTGGAAATTGATGTTTGATGGTTGCAGTTATGCTTTTTTTTTTTTTTACATGTGTCAAACAGGGTTTTTCTTATTCTTTTGAAGACAAAGTCAAATGAAAAAAAGAGAGGAATCATTTTTCATGTATGGATGAATAAATATTTGTGTAGATAAAGAGAACACGGACACAAGGCTTCCTTTCTGTGTTCATTTGACATATTTTGTGTAAGCGGAGTCCACTTTATTCATGTCAGTTTAGGTTTATGATGATTTAATGATTCGCTGAGGGAAACATTGTGGATTTGGTCAAAATGAAGGTTCGTGGACTTTTGTCGTCATGGCTACAATATGAAATATGTGTTTAACGGAACAACCGCAGAAGTGTTTAAAACAAAGTAGTAGGAAACGAACAGCAGTCTGCAGGTGTTTTGCAGACGCAGTGAGAACGTTTCTATAATCTCATGAACGAAGGCTGTTGTACGAGATCATCACTCAGAAACAATTGGTAAATTGAAAGAAGCTCGAACAAACAACGAATCCAGAACCAAGAAGACACTGAGCGTAAAAGGCCACGTGCACGGTAATAAGTGCAGGCGTAGCGTCTAATGGAGTTGCGTCATTGTCATTCAGGCTTTTCCTCTTGCGGCGATTCATCGGCGGCGCCCCGGGGCCACGCTGGTGATTTGAGAACCTCGGTGGCACACAGAGTTCTCCTGCGCTCCCCCGAGGGGATCGAAGTCCATAAACCCAAATAGCATCCGATTCCCCGGAGAGTGAAGCTGTTGGGTTTTTGTTCACAGAATAAATTGGGTTACTAGAAGCAAACAGGCGAGAAACATCGTTACTGTGAAACCTTTTTGCATCACCAGTAAATGTACGTCAACGCACAACGACCCTCCAGAGAAAAGTCATTTTATTTGACTTGCCCCCCTCGTCAACAAGTCATTTCAGACTCTGAAGGAATCCATCAGGAAAAGGAAGATCCTCGTTTAAAAGCCGTTGGGATCACATTTCACTGAGCTGAAATATTTACTTTTTATTAGAAATGTTGCTGGACCAACATGTGAGGATCTGATGTAAGGTGATGCATTGCTGTTCATCTACAGTATCATAATGTAAGAGGAACATAAGGAATAACGGAATGAAGCGTGGAAGCCTCTGAAGGGCCAAAGTAACAGCACATGAAAACTGACTCAGGAATATTATTTTCTGCATCACAAACAATTATTGCTCCATCTTCTAATAATCTGCATCTTTTAGTAATAACGACTTCCTTCTCCGTGTGCTTCCTTGCTGATGATCAATATTCAGACTCAGACAAATTGAGAGCACAATCTTTGGGAAGAGAGAGAGTGATATCGTACTAATCTAAGTTACCGTCCAGCCCTCCAATTGGTCTTTGTGTAGAATTGATTTTTTCCCCATCTGTCTTCTGCTATTAAAATAGAACACACACACACAAATAACAGTAATTACAAAGTATACTGTCCTTTAAGGCCGAATAAATAATAATCTAGTGTAACATTTGTTGCTCTTTCACAAACAGTCGTAAAAACCAAATGACTGACTTGCACAATTTGATCTGAATCACGTTACATCTCGATCCTCCTCAGTAGTTAAGACGAAAATGTTCATCTTATGGCTGCAGAATATAAGAAAACTAAAAGGACCAGTCGTGTTCCTTCTGGGAACCATGAATATCAGCACAAACATTCACATCCATCCATCAAACCCTTATTACATTCTTTTTTCTCTGCATCCTTCAGCTCGGATAAAAGCCGTCATAAATAAGGCAGCAGAAGGGAACTCGCTCTCATTAGGCTAATGTATTTTTGACAATGTGAATCTTCCCGGGTGTCTGAACTAATGGACTGGTGTTTGTGTGGAGGAGATCATGACGGCTGTGAATGCATAATCCTCTGGGTGGGTCCTAATCCAGCAGACCGCCTTCTGTTCCTGCAAACCAGGGCGGTGAAATGTCAGCGAGCACGACTGCTGCGATCGCTGCACCTGCTGATCCACACACACACACACACACACACACACATCATTACCCTTTAAATACACACTCATTTCCTCTTTTTTTAAGGGTGCGTTTCACTCAAGCCATGAATTATTCAAACAGCGATCTGTTAAATATTCGGCTGGCTCTCCAGAAAAAAAAACGCTCAGCAGGCTCCATCAGCCCACAGGAAGACGTTTTTGAGGACGACATTGAGTAAATAGTTTTCTTCCTGGGAAAGTTTGAAGCCTTCAAACGTGGGCTCACTAACGCCAACTGAGTAATGTGAATTCATCAGGGGTAGAAAGTTTAGTTTTTAAGTTGTTTGAGCGCCGTGTAATTAAAGGATTCTTCACAGACCCCTGGGGGGGGGGCGTGGGCAGAAGAGGGGATTAATTGCCAGATGAAATGAGAGGATTGTCCTGACAAAGCACTCGATAGAAAAAGTATTTTTGAAGTTGGAGGTTGAGAGACAACAGGAGAGGAGGATACGGTGTCACAAGGAAGGAAGGGGTCAGGAAAAGGAGCTGGGAGAGAGACTATTGGAACACATTTACCTTCAGTGAACCCGTGCAGCAGGAGATAAAGCGAGAGTTTATCTGGAACTGGGAGTTCTGGAACGTTCTCAGAGTAAAAGAACACCACAAGAGCAGATAAGATAAGACTAAACCAGATTCCACACAACTGATC